TTAAATTTCCTCTGTAAAAAAAACACAAACGTATGTCTGCACACTGCATTAGTTTAAACCCCAATCTTCCAACTAGTCAGTGGATGACCTTGGGCAATTTTCTTAGTTTCTTTTAGCCTGAGTTTCTTCATCTTTAAAATGGGGATAATAATAGCACCTACTTAAGTAGAATTGTCGCAAAGATTAAACAAATTAATAAGCCTGAAGCACTAAATCAATGCTTGGCACAGAGTAAGCACCTAATAAATATGAGATATTTTGAGATGAGACCTGCTTTGTGGTCTAGTACATTGTCAGTTTTGGTAAACTGTGCACCTGAACAGAATATTTGTTCTATAGTTGTTGGGGGTATATACATATTTTAAACATACTTAATTTTATCTAAGTCAGCTCCAGCCAGCACTTGTCCTAACTGAAGTTCTAGGGATACCATCCAATTCTTTGTTTGCTACTTTTTGTTTAAGATAGATTATTTTTCTGTGTGTTTTACACTTTTTTATTGTAATCTCATTTTATTTTTGAGACTGCTTCCAGAGTAAACTTTTGCTTGCTTCTGCCAGCTGCACTTACTGATATTACCATCACAACACCAACTATTTTTTGTAGTTTGGTTTTTTTTTTGCTTGGATTTTACATAGAGTAAAAATACCCTTTTTAGGTATGTCTGATGAGAGTTTACAAATGTTTATATTTATGTAACCACCAGCACAGTCAAAATATAGAACATTTCTATCACTCAGAGAGTTCACATTTTAGCCCAGCTTTTAAGATATAATGTCATCTTGGGGATTTCTGGATCATATTAGTACAAATTGTATTTGTGAAGCTTCTGACTCCATGAGGTTTAGGTCTAGATTGTAACTTTTCCAAAGAGATTTAAAAAAAACAACAACAACAACTCTGAATCCAGTTTAATGCAAACAAGCTTCCTTGTTATTTTCCTGTTTGCTGGTAGGAAAACTTTTCCCCTAGTCCAGTCTTTCAGTGTGTGTGTAGCTCTTTGATAGTCTAGCATTATTTAGGTGTCTTAGTTACATCTTCCTGCCTTGTTCAAGTTCTATCCCTGATGGACATAAAACTCAAATGTCATGGTTAATAAGACCCACAGTGCTGTTGCCCCAGTTTCAGCTGACAAGTTTTTAGATACATTTTATTACAGTCTAACATACATATAGAAAAGTACATAGATCATAAATATATATAGCTCAATACCTTTTCAGAATCGAACATACCTATGTAATAAGTACCCAGGTAAAGAAAATGAACATTACTAAAAATTTCCTAGTATCCTTTCCAACAGATACTATCTCCTCCCAAGGAGAATCATTATATTGACTTCTAACATTATAGATTAATTTTTGAACTTTAAAAAATGCAATCATGTGGTGTATACTCTTTTATGTCTGGCATCCTTTGCTTATCACGTTTATGAGGCTCATTCATGTTGCTTCATGTAGGTGTAGTTTGTTCATTGTCATTGCTCTGTATTATTCCATTGCATGAATATAACAGGATAGTATTGTAGGTGGATATTTGGGTTGTTTCCAGTTTTTCTCTTTGCTGTTGGAAACTTTCTAGCTCTGCTCCCTATTTAGTAGAATTTAAAAAGCATTTCCTGGTCAGCAATTCTGTATGATCTGTGTCAAGACAAGTTTTAGGTTTTATAGCCTGCCAAATCTCCTGACATATAAGTCATATGTTTCAGTTTTTGTTAAAATTCTTACTTCATTCTCATCTGATTTACTTTTAGCCTTTGACTTATTTCTTTAGAAAGCCATTTAGAAATGGCTTCGATTCTGGTGAACTAATGAGTGAAAGCAAACCCGAAGCTAGAGATGAAATACATAATTAATCTTGTATACATGATCCCTTGCCTGGGCGGGATGCTGCATATGCAAGGCTAGTTTGACGTTAATATGTGTGAAATATTAAAAAAGCATGTTAAAGAAATGGGGTGGTTGAAGACAAGCAATGGTATGAAGTGCAGATATGGTTGTTTGGGTCCAGGATCTCCTGGCCAGTTGATACTGGGAATATGAAATGAGAGGGAGACTCTCTTGATGAGTCAGTGGGATGTAATCTATGTGTTGCCAGAAGAGCCACTGCAAAGTGGCTCTACTTTTGTCCTGCAGAAGTAATTATTCTCCTAGATTAGTGGTTGTCAAAGCGGGGCAATTTTGCTCCCACCATGGGATATTTGGCACTGTCTGGAGACATTTTTGGTTGGCACGCTATTGTAATCTAGTGGGTAGAGGCTAGGGTAGAGGCTGCTAAATATCCTATAATGCACAAGACAGACTCTATCCTCACCCCCTAAACAAAGAATTTTCCAGTTCCAAGTGTCAATAATGCCAAGGTTGAGAAACCCTGTACTCGACCTAGGGACTAGACATAACTTCTAAATCAGAAGCATATTTAAATAAACACTTTTTATTTAAATCAACTACCTTTCAAGAAATGATAGCACCACAGTGGCAGATTCTTCTATGATTCCGTACAAATTCTGACATTCTGCAAAAGCTACTTCATACTTGTCTCACTTGAATTCTTTTCAAAACTGTAATGATGGGTCCTTCAACCACCAAATCCATTCAGAATTTGAATAAAATCATTCATATTTGACATTAATGTAACTAGATATGTACAGCATTTTATTTATAGACATTAAAAATTAAACAACAAAATTTGCCTATGATTTATGTCATTGTCAATTGCTATTGAAAAGTCCAAGGCCATAGAGTAAATCAGCTGCACAAATGGCATAAGACAAAAAAAGATTTTGATGTTGTGCCTTGCAATTAGACTCTAAGGCATTCTTTGTTGTTACATTTTTGCAACTCGAATTTAGGGTAAAGGTAAATTTCATTATTTATCGGATAGAAGTGATTGTCTAAATTTGTCTCTTCTTCCTCCAGGCAGCACACACTACCATTTATTCTTCTAATTCATTTCCCCCAGAAAGCTGAGAAAGGTTTATTATGATATTATTGGTTTTGTAACTAGTTTTTTTTTTATTGTAATGTGATTCCTGAACAAATGTCTGTTTATAAGGGGAATCACTTTTACAAGAAGTAGAAAATTAGACATGCTTCTGCTTTGCAATAACAATAAAAACCACAGTGAAAAAATATTCTCCTGTTTATTCCTATCGGTATCAGCAGGGGAGCTTTAGAAGATAGCTTTCCCCCTAAAGTCTCCTAAACACGATTACTGCCTAAAAGCACCATGTCAAAATGCAGTTTTCCTCCCAATCCTATTGAAGACCAACACATTCTCAAGCTTGCCCTGACGTGGGCCCTTTAAGAAAGCCAGGCAGTTAAAACCCCACCCCTCTGCTGACTTGAAGCAGTAAGTCTGCCTTTCTGGGGCAGTTGGTGATAAAGCTAAGACTGAGCAGGCTTTCCCTCTGCTCTTCCTGGAAGGACTGTTTTTGTTGCAATAAACTCCAAACGTAGAAGCTTTAACACACTATGGGTTAGGGAACAATAGAAACTTGTGAAGTATAGAAGCCAGACCCACTCTTTAGATTCTATCATGGTGTTGAATAAAGTGGAAAGAATGCTGTTAAGTGTTGGGTTTTCCCCTGTAGTGCTACTCCCTGCTAGCTTTACTCTTCCATCTCACCCAGCAAGTGAGTTTTCCAGAAGCCATGTCCAATTTAAGGAGTTGCTTGTCTCATGTACCACATCTCCAAAATGAAAAGTCAGGGAGAGAAATAAGTTCAGTGAAAATTAAACTGGATCCTTCTAACCGAATTATTTACATTGGCTGTATATTTCTGAAGAGCAAAGCCAACTTTTTTCCCCACGCCATACCAAAAGTGACTAAGTTCAGAAGTCCTCTGGAACTAAACTAAAAAAAAAAACAAAACACAAAACACCCCCAAAACAAACAAACAAACAAAAACCTAGGAGAAATTTGGGGCTTAATTGCATTTGGCATTTCCGAGCTGTCTGCTAAAAGCAGCCATCTTGGTAAAAGATGATGTCATTTGGAACACTTGGATTCGTTTATTCCGAGGTACCAGTTTCCATTAGCTGCTGAATAACAGTTTAATCATTAGATCACATTTAGGTTTAAAGATGATGGAGGAGTGGTTGATTATAAAAATCATTTGTTTCCCCACCTCTTTATCCTTGTTAACACATTACAAACTTTTCCACAAGTTCAAAGCAATAGGAAAAATTTTGACATTTTTTCTTGTTGTTTTGTTTCCATGTGTTTGTTCTTCCCTTGAATAAGCTTGGATAATAAAACCAGCCTGGTCAGTTTCACTTTCCAATTTTTATACTTTAGTGAAAGCTGTTTTGTGTCAACAGTGTCAAGTGTTTAAAATCATCACCTGCTGGGCCAATTTCCAGCAAACCTTTCTTTTGGAGGGGAAAGGGGTGAATAAGATTTTTGATTTTAAATTTCTTATGCTACAAAAATAGAACCGTGAATTAGACCACATTAGAGTAATTAATCTGATTTATTTTCGACATATTAAAGTTTTTTAGGAGTGGGCAGGACTATAGTAAGGAAAAGTGGTGGTTATATTGTATTCCTATTTAATCATTGCTGTTTTTATAGCATCATGCTGTGTCTGCAGTTATTTTAGAAAATTGGCACTTAAAGAGAAGTCTTTCAATCAACCAAGTGTTTATCTTTTTTTTCTTTTTGGATTAGACATCAGTGTTTTAATCGTATTGCGTGACATGTCCTGGCACCGTTTGCAAGATGCAAAGAGAAAAAAAAGAGTTGCACCTTGTTTAAACAATTGAGTGCAGTGTGGTTTATGAGATTGTTAGGAAGAGCAAAGAGGGTGTGGTGTGTCTCTTCTGCAAATTCTTCCTTAACCAGGTTAACCTGTGGCTGTTGTTTCATCCCATTCTGCTCCTTGCAGGGTAACTTTCTGTTCTCTTAACGCTATTCAAAGCCTCTCAGTCAGTCAGGCTCACTAAGAGAAAACTGAAAGCGCTGCGTGTATGTTTGAAACAGACAGAGGGAGACACCAGCACACACAGTTGGCGGAAGATGGGGCCACGACTCAGCTGGTGCTGGATGCCGGAACCCGGCTGACCTTTCCACGTGTCCCCAGCACCTGCAAGGCTAGTAGGGCATTGGGTTTCCTTTTCCCAGGAGCGGGGGCGAGCCCGGAAGAGGCCGGACGGCCGTCTGCTTAAATCAGGGCGCTCGGAGGCCCTCTCTCGGAACACGTGCGACCCGCGAGCTGCTGGTGCGGAGGTTAGCCTGGCTTTCCCGCAGCGTCTGTGCCCGCGCGTCCCCAGCCCGCCGGCCGACGCCAGGAGGCGGGCCGCGGCGGCGACGGGCGGGTCCCAGAGCTTTCCGCAAGCTTGCAGGGCGGCCTAGCGAGCGCGCCAGGCCGGGACAGAGCGAGCCTCAGTGCAATACTGCCCGAGCCCGGGCGGGGTCTCTGTTCTCTGGCAGAGGAGGTCCCTTGGCAGCGGGAAGCTCCCTCTCTTTCTCTCGCCGCCGCTCCGAGTCTGCGCCCTGGTGCCAGGCGCCCAGCTCGGCGCTCCCCTGTGCTCGCCCGGCGCCCACTCATTCGCAGCCCAGCCTTCGCCGCTGCCGCCGCCTCCCTGCTCCTCCTACTTTCTCCAGCCCGCCGCGGCCATGGCGGACAGCGCCAGCGAGAGCGACACGGACGGGGCGGGGGGCAACAGCAGCAGCTCGGCCGCCATGCAGTCATCCTGCTCGTCGACCTCGGGCGGCGGTGGCGGCGGCGGTGGCGGCG